AAAAACCATAGCTTTGACTATGCGGATCTTTGTCGGCAAGGTGACGTCTCTGCTTTTTAATCTATATATACTTATCTAATATAAATAATATTCAAATACATATATATTAATTTCTAATACCTTTATACAATATAACCTTAACTATCATTTTTTAACCTACTGTACTGTGTATAAATGAGTTCCATATTTCATTATACTTGTCCATGCAAAGTCTATGTCTATAGGCGATCCGCTAATAGGTGGCAAGTATAATTAGGTCTTCAATCCACAGAGTGAATGGAGCCATACGTTTATCTTTCCAATGTTGAAATATCAGTCTTTTAGCCACAGTAAGGGCATGGAGAATCCATTTACATTGTCCAGTTGTCAAATTCCATGTACTAGGTATGTAGTTCAAGAGAATATTATCCTCTAAAAATGTTAGCTTTTGCCACAGAGTCACACTGATATAGTCCACTACTTTCTCCCAAAACTTAGTAAGTATTGGACATTGTAAAAACATGTCTTTTAAAGAAGCATTGTCTCTATTACATCTCCAACAAAATTCTGTTTTTGACAGTCCTTTTTTATACAAACGTAATGGAGTCCAATAAATTCTAAGTATTATTTTTGTTGTATAAGTCGTAATTTGAGGTCCATTTACACTCTTGCTATAAGTTAAAAGACTCTTCCATTGTCTAGGCAATATAGGAACCTCTAACTCTTTATTCCACTCATTTCTTAGCATCTGCATACCAAACTGATTTATTGATAGTAAATATCTATGAAAAGCAATAGCATGTTTTTTTAGTTTTAAAAAGTTTAACGTTGTTCTAGTATCTCTGATGTCTCAGAAGCTGAAAATGCTGCTGGTCCAAACAAGGTTGTTAACAAATGTAGTAGCTGTAAGTATTGCCACTGGGTTATATCTGATAGATCATATTTATCTCTTGACACAGAGTATGTTAAAAATTCATCTTTGTCATCTATCAGTTGGTCCAAAGTCAATATCCCTGCTTCCATCCAATTTTTCCATATCACCATCTTTTCCCCAATTTTTAAAGTTGGGTTTCCCCATAAAGTGAATTTAGCATGAGAATTTTTTTTTTATTAGACATTACATTCCATAACTTTCTAACTAACATAATTGTTTTCAGAGATACTAGAGTTTTAGTATATTTAGGTCCTAATGCTGTCCATCCAACCAAAGGTGCTATATATGTATATTCCAAAGTTGCCCAAATTGGAAAATAAACACCAACTGTTGGCTTCCAATATTTAATACTTGATCATAGGTAAGCATGATGATACAGCTCAAGATTCAGAAAACCGAATCCTCCCTCATTAACTGGTAATTGCATTTTTTGTAAAGATATTCTTGAAAACCAAGAACCCCATAGAAATTTTCTAAAAGAATTTATTTTCTGAAAATATTTTCCAGATATATAAACTGGAATTCCTCTCAGAATATAAATTAATCAGGAAATCATTTTGAGAGCATTCACCTTTCCCCAAAGGATAAGGTTTAATGACTCCCATCTATCGATATCTGAAGAAACCTCTCTGTATATTTTATTTATACATGTTACTAGCTGAGTTACATCTTTTGGTGTACACATACTTAGATATATAATGGATTCAGTACAAATACGGAATTAATATTCCTTAAATGGATGGGTAACCAAATTTTCACCTACTGGCATCAATTCCAATTTGGGCCAGTTAATCGAGTACCCTGCTATTTTACTAAAGGCATCTATCATTTGCATCAACACTGGAATAGTAGTGTGAGATTTAGAAATAAACAAAAGAATGCTGTCTGCAAATAAAACCAATTTGTGTTCAACTGAGTTATGTACTACTCCATAGATCTCCCCATGTTATCTAATAGCACAAGCCAAGCATTCCACACAGATATTAAAAAGCAAGAGTGAAAGTGAACATCCTTGTCTAGTTTTTCTAGTGGGAAAGTAGGAGAAAACATGCCATTAACCTTTACTTTAGATGTGGGCGACATATAATACCTTGATCCATTTTATGAATTCCAAAGGAAATCTGAGCCTGTTTAGTACGGCAAACATGTACTGTTTAAATATTTTGTCAAAGGCTTTTTCAGCATCTAATGATAAAATTACAAATTGATCTTTATTTTTATTCAAGTCTATTAGGTCTACAAGTAACCT